TTATTGTAAAATTGTTACTTATTTAAATATAAATTATTTACATAAAATTCGCATAAAAAATAATTTAACATAAAATTTATCTACAGAGATAGGTCATACTTAATGGGGAAATAACATTCAATTCCCTGCTGTTTCTGAAAAGACTGAAATACATGCAGCGTTCATCTCTGGTTAGCTTTAAAGCTATCATCATCAGCCGTGCCATGCCATTAGTGCAGAGCAACATATACAATATATTAGTGTACAACCACAAGAGCTCTTTGACTGCAGAGAAAGATGTGTGGAGAAATGGCATTCACATTAACATAGCGGTTTAGATATCCCAGTGCCGCCATCAGCACCTATTATAATATTCAGTGAGAAGACATAATGCTTAACTCATTACATCATTAAAAATCATCCATTATATTTGATATTATGCGTCAGCAATGTGTTTTACAGCATGACAGAGCTTTGCAACAGTTTGGAAACAGGCAGACAGTCCAAATACAGGCTGGCACACACAACACCTAGGCAGCACTTTATATCACATCACGACTGACAAACCTTTTTGTAAGGGGGTGGTTATTATTGCACCAGTGAAAAATGCAAAAATTGATGTTTTTAAAGTTAATGCATTTGATAGAAAGCATCCTTAGTTTTAATGTGTTCAGGTTCAGTGTGGACAAATAAATCACTGGAGGCTTACAGTGTGTCAGTGGAGGTGAATACATGTTCACATGATGTAAAATGGCTGGATCACGTGGCAGCAGTGATGTGTGCCAGGCCAGCAGCAACAACAACAAGCAACCCAGAGACAAACAAACACAGGAACCAAACAGCAGGAGGACGGTGGCCACAGTGTCTCAAACAATCAACACGCAAATGTTGTACTAAACATATTGCACAAGTAGGTTATATAAATTTGTGATTATGCCATAAATGCTCCATTATACATCATCCATCACAGATTATAGCGTATTGCTTTGTTTGTTTCCACAAGAAAAAGAATGATAATTATCAGCTAAACCATGTTTTAAACATATAATTGCATTATTAGAATAATCTGCAATGGTAATGACTGGGATGATTTGTGTAATTACAATCATGAGCATGTCTGAGTGACTCTGTTGGCTAACTTCAAAATTAACTCCTGCCTAGGAATATTTTACATGACAATAAAGCTGACATAGAAATAGGTTCATTTGACATGCCATAGCAGCTACAGAGAGGCGTGTAAAAATGATTTACATCAGCTTGGCAGTATGAGGAAACATCCAACATACGATCATGGGAGGTGACATTTGTGAAGACAAGGTTGTATGAGTCAAGTTGATCCTATTAGGCGTTTAAATGGATTTTACATGGGCTCAGAATGTGCCATCAGACATGGAGAGAGAATCCATATTCATGGTGCATTGCCCTGTCGGCAACACGGAAAAAGCTGGTTATAGACCATTTAAACCAGGGGTAATTGTTTATCTAGATGGCTCTCTCCTCAATGCATAAATTGAGTTGCAGACCACTTGTGATGTTTGTGTGTGTGAGAGAGAGAGGCTGTAGCAGTATTACATGTGGCATACACCTCAATGAAATAGATGTCATTTGAGCATCTATTTGCATAAAAAGGGGTGTAAAGGGGGAAGGTAAGAGGCGGCTTAGCTCGGTTCAGCCCTATAATAAATGCACTATATAGACTTGAATAAGAGGAGGTTCCACTCCATAACCACACCCAGAAGGAATATAGCACCATGCAGTCTGCTGATACCTCATCAAGTAATACGCGTTTACTCTTTCTGGTCAAGGCTCTGGGGAAATCTTCTGACATTTTATGTTGTAGAATAAATGATTAATTGATTTGTAAGACTGAACAATAAATAGGAAAACTAAACTAAACAAAAACAATTACGGTTACAGCCCTAGATCTGTTCTCACAAATACAATAGAACCACAGCCACAAGGCTACAGATCCTGTCACTAATATGATGTTAACACCACAGCGTTTTTCTGAACACTGGACTGTGGTTTACGCAGACAATACATTGCACTTATTATCTGTCTAGGTTGGCTTCCAGCACATATTGAGGCCACAGCTTGTTAAAACAGTTTAAGCCTGTATTGACCCCATGTATCTGCAAATCAATAACATGGCCTGACACTCTTACTGTAAGCATATATGGTTGTGTTATTGTGCAGGCTATCATATTGGCCTTACATTAGGGGAGCTGGCACTGTTCATGCAGGTAAAGTTACGTAGTAAGGCGTGGTTGTCAGTCAAAACAACAATCGCCAGTTTTTCTCTGAGACCAGACAATCTCAAAGCAGCACACCCTACAGACACACACAGAAACAGACCACACACACTGACTGTGCTTTCCAATGCCATATAGACAGATGTACAGTGGGATAGATGTGAGCACATCCTGACCTTGAACCACATCTCAATAGACAGGAATTGGAAAACAACACACCACAATGCAGTACAGGTCAAAAAAGAAAGAGGGTTTTCTTTTTGGAAGGGTGCAGAGTGGGGGTGTGGCTTTACCCAACCTGACAGTCCTCCATGGGTGGGTGGGTAGTCGGGGTGAGGTAAGGGGGGTGCTGCTGATGTTGGGTGAAGAGAGGACTCTCCTCGACTACGCGTATTCTTAAGCAATAACAACGTGATCCGTATTATCCACCCAAGAATACCCGTCACCGAAGAGAGTCTTTCAGTAAACACGTTGTGCTAAGCAAGAAATCACGTGAACAGCGCTACTGCCATCGCATCCTTATCATCATCGCCACCTCCTCCATGGCCATCACTGCCACCATTAGCAGCCTCCCTTCAGGCTGTAGGGGCAAACAGACATTTACAAATGTAGAGAATGTGAAGCAGTTACACTGACTGAAGACGCCTCGCTGCAGCGTGAGGCATGGCTCCATCAATGACTCCTCTGCAAAGGACAACATTGACAATGGTGGCTTTTTTTATTCGAGCCAGCCATGTGTGTGGAATGGTTAAACAGAAACAAAAGAAGAAGAAAAGAACAGAATGTAAGAGCTGAAGTTACCTTGATTCTCTTTCTCTCTCTCTCTCGGGTCTGTACACAAATCTCTGGAAGTGACAGGTGAGAAGGTGCAGCCCAAATCCCCACAAGCAAGCCTCTTACCTAGGTTGTGGCGTGGCAGTGCTTCCACTGTCTCCTGGTAGTCCTCAACTAGCAGTGACATTCTGTACCATGCTGCTGTTGCTGCTCCTGCTCAACCCTACCTGGGTGTAATGAGATCTGGAGCGAGAGAGGGAGGGAAAGGGTGTATGGGGGTGCACACACAAGGGAGATGTGGGTTAGGGAGGTCAGATCAGGAGCTGCGTCCGTGTGACAATAGCCCCCCGTACACACCATTACCACCACCACCAGCCCTCCCCACCCACACAGGGAAGGAAATCAACACATGGATTATACCAGAGCAGGAGGGGGCAGTGAACACAAAGAACTGATTAGTTTGATTATATAAAGGTAGCACTGCTTTTTGCAACACCACATCAGTCTAGCTACCTTCATGCTGATAACTGCTGTCAGGCATATTTTAGAAAATAAGCATTCAAATTTAAAATTCATGAAGACATGCTGCAGCTCATGACATTCATTTCCCTTAAAATTTCCTTGTAATTAAAATTGCCTTGTAAATTAATTCATAAATGTTAATTTAGCAATCATTATTATGATCCCCCCTCTTCCATACTTTCAAATTAAAGGGATGAGTTTAAATGCCAGACTGAAGCGATGAAAAATGTGTGAAAAGTTCAAGCAACTTTATTCTATTTTGTTTTAATTGAACTAGCTGGCTGAATACAAAAAAAAAGCCTGCTCCAACTAGCCCAATTCAAAATCATTTCACTGATTTGTTGTCTCTAATCAATATTTACAATTACTCTGTGAATGGTTTGGAAAAAGGAAAAAAAAACGTGTCAAGGTGTGTTTCCTCAATTCCAAGAGCTGATTAGATTAACTCTTCTAAATTGGAATTTCATCAGGCATGTTCCTCAAAACACAGGAATAATGGTGTAATTTGTTGCAGTTGTCTTACAGTAGAGCATCTTTATAGGCAGAGAAAATGCACTTTAAATTTTACGCATTTAACAAGACGAAACTGACTGGATCCGCAATCAAATTAGTATATGAAACACACTCAAACTCATTCATCTAAATATAAAATTTAAATTATACAGAGGGGCTGAAGCAGGATGGACAGAGAATGAAGGTGTGGACACATGAAGAGAAGGAAAAAAGAAAGGAGGAAGGGTCTGAATGGAGAAAATAAAGAATGAACAAAAAGAAAAAAACTTAGCAAACGAGAAGCTAATCTGTTTTTTTAACAGCTTTTTAGTCTCTATTTGCCCTCTCATCCTTCTCTCAGCTGGCCAGTGGGGTTCACACACACACACACACACACACATATTGATTCCTCAGCCAAAACCAAGAAGACCACCACCCATCCATCGGGCCCACTATCCCCGAATGGCAGAGAGCTGGGATTTACCACCCGCGGCCAAACACACATTCTCAGCTATCCTGGTCCAACCCTGGCAATCTATAGACAGGTGAACGAAAGAGAACCTAAGCACTTCTGGGAGAAATCACCACACACACACACACACACACACACACACACACACACACACGTTTGTAGACCCAAGTATCACTGACTATTATTCAGAAGCACCTTGAAGACTTATCAGATTACTCTGCGAGCAGGGGCAGCAGCTAAAATCACACCTCAGGAATCTTCTCTTTTCCTTTGCTTTCATTCAAACTTTCACACACGTATATACACACCTACACACACACACACACACACTCAATTACTCACTTCCTCATTCTTATAATCAAATTGCCCACAGGAATATGCCATTAGTGGACAGGCTTCATGAGGAGCAACACGGGATGAAACACTCACGGCAATGTACGAGCATATGAGAAGAGAAAAATTGCAGATTAAGGGAGGAAACACTTAGAGAGTGAGTGAGAGAGGAGACAACATCCAAATCTATTTTCAGAATTTTTTTTGCCAAAAGAACAAGGAGTGGAAAAGAAAAAATAAAACTGCCACAATAGGTCCACTCTGTTGCATGGTGGCCTCTTACCCTCTTTTCTTTTTCTTCTCTGTGCTCTCCAGTAACCCAGGGTGTTGCCTCTTGTCTGCTCTCCTGATGAACCTCTTCTAAAATTCCTTCCCCTTCCTTCCTTTCCTTCTCTTCATTCCTTGCCGAGGGTCCACGGCGGTGATCTCCCTCCCCCTTCCAGTTCCAGGAAGAGCTCCCTGAGGAGAAGGGGGAGGCAGATCCCGGCAGGAGATGGAGAATCCAGCAGCTGGAGCGGCAGCGGCAGTGGAGTGATGATGCTGGTGCAGCCAGAGAGGGATGAGGGGAAGCATAGATGCTTAACAAAAGATCTCCCCATCTTTTCCTCCTCTTCTCCTTCTCCTCACCCTCCTCCCACTTCTTCTTCTTCCACTCTTCCTGCTGCTCTCGCCTTCCCCTCTCCACTCCCACTGCTGCAAGGAGCCAGTTGTTGCTAGGCCGCGGGAAATAAACGAGCCGGCAGAGCTAATGAGAGAGCAGACGGACAAGCGAGAGAGAAAGAAAGAGAAAAGGGAGAGCATGTGGTGTGATGTGGCATCTGTGAGAGAGGGATACAGAGGTAGAGATAGACGTGGGAGGGAGGATGGACGAAGGAGGAGGAGAAAGATGGAGAGAGAAAGGTGGGGTGAGGCAGGATGCAGGGAAGGATGAGAGAGAGAGCAGCCAGGAGGAAATTTAGAGAGATGTAAAGAAACACACAGAGAGAGAAAGAGAGGAATTGCAGCAATGAAAACCTTCAGTCACCAGCAGCCTTTCCAACGCACCCTGTACCTGCTATGAGGAAAGCCAGAGAATAATTAGATTTACACTTCACACACAGGGTTGTGTTTTGCTATAGTTGTGAGGGCACTCACTGACATAATGTATTCCCTACCCCCTTACTGTCATCATAACTATCACATCTACTTGTCTAACCCCGGTCCTCACCCTAACACCTAACCCGTTTCTAGTCTGAACACTAAAATCAGGTCTTAACCCTCAAACAGCTCTTTAAAGTTGTGAGGATTGGCTAAAATGTCTTCACAATGATGGCATCAAACTAGCATTTGTCCACACAATGACATAAACACACACACACTTCTCTCCCTCTCTCTGTCTCTGTCACACACCCTGGCACCTAGTAATGGTGGATTAATTGATGTGCTGAGCGCTTCGGGGCCCTCAGCCAACACCTCCACCAGCACCCACTTAAACATTCTTTGTGGAAAAGCATCACTGCGCGTGTGTTTGCGTGTGTGTGAGATGGTGGCAGTGGAGGTGGGCATGTGGGGCTGGGGTCCATTGGAAATCATCTGCATTGACACACCACACGCACTACATCACCGACTGTGATCAGCACTCTCGGCTGACAAAAGCTTCCACACAGTCACGCAGATCAGCCACACAGAGTCATATGAAAGGCCGTGCGTGTGTGTAGAGGGGGATTTAAATGTGACAGCATTTTTACTTTTTGCTTCAGAAGAGAAAGAGGACAAGCAAAGGCAATAAAGTGTTATGATTCACAAAAATGTCCCCTATTCCACTTCACCTTTTTATTTTGTTTAAGAAGGAAGATTGGACTGATATTGGTTGCTAAAAGGCAGTGTTGGGACTCCTTTTTCAATTTCACCATTTCATTTCATTCATTCATTTCACCTGTCTCAAAATTCTCAAAAAGAAAGAATAATATAGCAAATGGGTTGATTTGTGAACCCAGCATCACAGCCAATGCTGGCATTACTGAAATGTGATTGTTTTTATTATGGTCCCTCAGAATTTAATTTTTCTATAGTGTTGAAAATAAAACACTACCACTACACACAAAAAGCCAGTTAGTCTTTATTTTACGATTAGACACCTTTAGACAGTCCACAATTACCAGTTATACAATTTCTTTTCTTTCATATGAACATAAAATATGAATGAATATTCACAAGCCATTGTTAAAAAAAATCATCACATCACAATGACTAGACCAGATCACATTTTTAATGAAAAACCAGAATGGGCAAGCCAAGCCAATATGTCAGTCTAAACCACTGTCTGAAACAAAAAAGACTGAGAGGGGGAGGAAAGAAAAACAGGAATGAAAGGAACAGAAAAATTAAACCAATTTCCTTGGGGCTGATTTAAGGTCTTCGTAATGCCAACTAGTCTCTTAACTCATCGCAACAGGCCTTGACTTTTCAAGTTGACATTTTTAAATAGTAAAGCTTGAAATTATTTGAGCAGAGAGAGAGAAACAGAGAGACCCTGTTTTTAACTGCAGATAATGGTCAGATAGTATAAGATTCCCTGTAGGTGTCCAGATCTCTCTCTCTCTCCCTGTCTCACACATATAGTCATGTCTGCCTATAATTGTGAGGACAGACATTGACATAATGCCCCTTACCTGAACCTAAAACTAAAAGTAATTCTTACCTGAATATTAAAACCAAGTGTTAACCTTCAGACTACTTCTTAAAGGACCCAGAGAATGTGAATCACTACCATGGTCTAAAATTCAAAATGGTCCTCACACTGCTTTCCATACAAGTGTACACACACACAGAGAAAGAGAGAGAGGGAAAAAAAGACAAATGCAGAAACAATGTGATTCTCTTTCAAAGCACTGAGGGACATGAAAAGCACACAAATACTCAACAAACTGTTAAGTTCCTTTTTTCCTTTACATTAGCTGTGTTGAAATGCCAAAACCCAAAAAGCTATGCTGAACACAAGAAATCTCTCTGTGTCTACTGAAAAATTAGGAGATGCATTCAATAAGACCCACTTGTATGATAATGATTCTGTTTGATTTTATTCATTTGGTTCCCTTTTCCATATTTGAAGAAAGTCACGCACAAGTAAACAAAAACAAGTCAAGCAAACACTTTACTTCAGCAGCATTTTTATTTCAATGGGCCAACACAGCATTTACATTTACATTTCTGCTACTGCCTTTGACATCCATGAATCTTCAGAGTAAAAGGAAATTAAAATCTCTCAAATAATCCATAGTGATTGTTGTCATCTTTGAGGGAGACTAGGTGGATAAAATAATCACACACCATTTTGTCTTGAATGGAGATGGTTCCTTCCAAGATAAAACAGACAAAGGAGCCAAGCTGGGGGACCAGCTCCGTTTCATGGCAGTGTAGTGCCCCCTTGTGGTAGCCATAGGTATGGTAGCTGCTGTGCAGCTCATTATTGAACCACAGGTAGTGATTTTAGATGTTCAGCAGCGAAAAGGACGTAAAATGATGGAGGAGAGACACAGGCACCAGGTTTAACTACACATCACTGATCAGTGTGAGTGTGTATGGTGAATAAGAGAAGGTGAAGCTCATTGTGCAGGAGATGGTGCTGGTGTTCAATGACCACACAGCAATATTTGCCTTTTGATAACAGCCAATCAAGCCATACACCTACAACACAACTGGAGGTTTCGTGCTGTGAGCACTTGTACTGTATCACAGTGGGTTTCCAGACTGCTTTGTAACTTAAAACTAACGGGGAAGTTAGGTTTAAAACACACAGTGCTGACACTGTCTACATTAACTTTAATATGAAAATATCAGTATTGGGCTTTGAACACACACACACACACACGCACACATCTTATTATATTTATTGTGATAATGTGAAGACATTTACTAACATTCCATCACCCCTTACCCCCTTGTTAACCATCACAGCTAAATGCCTAACCCCAACCCTTCACCTAGCGCACTAATCCTAAAATAAACCTGATTCTACCTTTAACCCTAAAACCAGGTCTTAATAGCCATCTTAAGGGATGTGAGAACCCGACCAAAATGTAAAAAAAAACTAAATTGTCTACACAATGTAATAAAGTCATGTCTCACACACTCACACACACAGTATTTGTTTTCTTTCCTCATGTTTCCTTTACAATGACTTACCCTAATCCAGCCATTCTCAACCAATGGGCCACAGCCCACTGACAGGTCCTAGAGTAGTACTGCAAAGGGTTAGATTATTTTATTTAATTTTATTTTATTTATTTATAGTTATGTATGCATGTTTGTCATTTACAAAGCTAGGCAATTACGGCACATAATCAGGAAGCGACAAACATAATTTACTGCTGTTAGCTAGTTAGCCAGCCAATATTTCCTTCAATGCAGTGATACAGAATGCATCCGTTTTTGAAACGGAAATGTCAGTATGTGCAGGACTGAACACTGAAGAATGCACCTAGCGCACTAATCCTAAAATAAACCTGATTCTACCTTTAACCCTAAAACCAGGTCTTAATAGCCATCTTAAGGGATGTGAGAACCCGACCAAAATGTAAAAAAAAACTAAATTGTCTACACAATGTAATAAAGTCATGTCTCACACACTCACACACACAGTATTTGTTTTCTTTCCTCATGTTTCCTTTACAATGACTTACCCTAATCCAGCCATTCTCAACCAATGGGCCACAGCCCACTGACAGGTCCTAGAGTAGTACTGCAAAGGGTTAGATTATTTTATTTGATCCAGCCTCCTCAATGAGAGTCGCATGGCCCAATGAACAAATGGAGAGAAACAACAGTCTACTGCTGAATGAACACCCCCTGCCTGGTGATGGTGCTCTGCAGTGGGGGATGAACATTGTCCAGGATGGACAGCAGCTTACTGCAGGTCCTCTTCTCCACTACAGATGTAAAGTAGTCCCACTCTGTACTCACTACAGAGCCAGCTGTGCTCACCAGTTTATCCAGCTGTGGGGTGTCTCTCTTCTTAATGCTGGAGCTAAAGGAAAGACTGTCCCTCGTGTTGGCAACAAAAGTTCGTGCTTGACCTTAACCTATACCCAACCTTAAACCAAGGCATCACCCTATAATTCAGTGATTTGCATGGTGGCTTCCCCACAAGGAAGGCTGGGTCCCCAAAATACGAGTGCACAAACAGGTGTTGGTCCCCACAGTGTGAGTAATGCCAGGTACACACAAACACTTTCCACTTGTCTATATTGAGACCTTTTAGCAACAGTGTTTTTCCAACATTATTATATTATTTTAGAAAATATAGATTCAGTGCGAGCTGCAGAAAGAAAAAGCGACCAAGAGATAGAGAGAGCACAGGCGAGAAAGACGTGTGCAGTCACTGGGTTGCGATGAGGCCATGGGCAGCTTTTCTTTGGTAGGATGGTCTCGTCTTTTCAAAGCAGCCAGCCATACAAAAGACAGTGAATTGAGTGTGGAAGCACCACAAGGCCATCTGCACAGCAACATGTAAGCTACAGCTGTACCAGAGAGAGAGAGAGAGATACAGTGACAGAAAACAGAAGAATCCATAATCTATTAGCAGCCAGTCTACAGTGGCAGAATGGAACAAGGCTGAAAGCTTCACAAAGTATTCTCTGAATTTATACCAAGTTATTGACATCTCTACAGTCTGAATCAGTCATATGCTATGGGAATATATTTATTATATACTAACTGATGATCAGCATTTCTCTAGTAAAGCTTGATATTATTCCACAGCCTATTCTAGTCAATGCAAGTGTTGAAATGTTGCATATGCTTAGACCACAATATTGCAAGTTATCATTTTTAAGAAGAGTTCAACGGTGATTTGTAAAA